ATAGAAAGATTTAAACTAGACAATTAAACATAACAAACATCCATGCACATATGCACACTCACGCAAATATACTACACTAATACAGAATATTCACTTTTTAAAGTTCTGATGGAAAATTTTCCAAAGATATACTATAGTCTCATAATTCCAAGCAAGCTAATATGAAATATAGTTCTGTGCTCCCAATACAGTGCCACTAGCTGCTTGGCCTGTGGACATTTGTAATGTAGCCTTTCACTTTCAATAATAATTAATGAAAAATAAATAACACTTGAAACAAGTTTCTCTATTACACCACCACATTAAAAGAAACACATAGAACATTTTAAGCTTTGTAAAAATTACTCTAATTGCATTTTACTTAAATAGAAGTCTATAGCCCAAAATTTAAAGATCTACACGATTTTTATCACATATTACTAAAGAAAGTAAGAGGCAAAGAAATTAAGACAATGGATAATCATCATTTCTATTATATAAATTATGAGTAAAATAGACCAAGTTCTTTCTTGTGAAAAACTGATTGCCTTAAATACATATAGTATAAAAACTAAATTCAGAAATGGAATTATCTGAGCATGCACCACAAAATTTTTTTTAAGTCGAAACTACTTTAAATTAAATAGAAGTGAAATAGAAGAAAGAGAACAACAGAGTGTAAAATCATACAGTACAAATAGTAGACAGGCTCAACAAAGCCAATGACATTTTCATTAAAAATATTTAATAAAATGGATAAGAAGATTATTTAAGAACGTACCTGATAAGGCATAAATATTTTATTTCTGGGTTAATTGTGGGAATATCTTTTGGATATTACAGATAAAAAATAAGGAGAGAATCATCTTATAAATACAATCTCATATCCATTTGAAATAAAAATTCCCAAAGTACACAAATTACCAAAATATAGGAAGAAAACAGATACCTGAGTAAATACACATGTAATAAACAAATTGAGTTTGTTATACAAACATTCCTATAAATATATTATACAAACTCAGATCACATCACTAATGAATGATAACATTTCATAATAAAACTCTTACCCAAAGGCTTTCAGGGTATCAAAAAAGAAATGCTTCTCAGCATAGTTTAATAGCAAGATCTTTCAAGTGTATAGCAATGAATAAAAGCATAACACAATCTTCCTGTGAACATGGATGAAGAATTAAATCTTACTTCTAACAGAAAAATGCACGATTTTTTTAAAGGGATAATACGGAATACCCAAGATGAGTTTATCTCAGAAACACAAGATTGGTTTAACATTTAAAAGAAATAAAAATAATATAGCTTATGTACATCATACAGAGAAAATAAATATACTTTAAAATGCTGCAAAAATTGTAAAAATACAACATTGATTCAATGCAAAATATATCAGAAAATGGAAATATTAGAAAATTACTGAAATATGAGAAAGTTATGATAAACATTTTTTAAAATATGACTGAAATGTTGAAATCTTCTCATCAAAAACAGGAAATAATACACGCATAATATACATAGAACTATTATTGTACTTTCTCTTCATCATTGAAAATAAATTTGTTTTTGGTTTTTTTTTCCCTTTTTCTTTTTTTGAGACAGAATCTCACTTTGTCACCTTGGATGGAGTGCCGTGACTTTAAAAAATTTATGGCACCAGTGGGGGAAAAGTGTGATTATAACAGATAAAATAGTAGTTTACATCAAAAATTGAGAAAATTCTGTACTTGAATTGTGGGATTTAATACACAAAATCAGTGAAGTAACTGGACATAAGATCAACATGCAAACCTTAACTGTATTTCTCTTTACAGCAACAAAATAAAGAAAATTTTAAAATAAGGATGCTTTTTACAGAGCATAAATGTGACATAGATATATTTCAATGTGACTTAAAAACCAAAAATACAACTATGACAGAGAGAAATTAAGGAAAACCAAATAGATTTCCAGACATAGCATAATATTGCTTGGAAAAGTTAACTTTATAAAGAGGCAGCCTATTTAAACATGACAGTCCCAAGCATCATCCCAGAAGAGTTATTTTCAAATACTTTTTATTGAGACTATATATTAGGTACACAAATAAGTAAACTTTTAGTATATTTGAAAATTTAGGACAAAATCACCTCTGAAGGTTGCAAAATTTTCGTTGTCTCAAAATGAAAAAATGTAATTTGTGGTCATATCTTATTCCAATCTCCTCTTAGTTTTCGGCAACCACTACTCCACTTTCCCTGTGGGTTTACCAATTCTTGATATTTCACATAAACAGATGCACATAGCATGCAACTTTAACAAGGTGACATGCCACACACGCAATGCTCAGCAAATAGAGCTAGACACAAAAGAAATGATATCCTGTTCTTTGTGGTGTGTGTATTATACTGCAACGATTTTTTAATCTTTTTATTCATAACAATTCATGTTGACTTATTCAATAACAACATTATTTCCATTTCACAAAGTATGAAATTGTACAGCAAATCCAAACTCAGGTGCTTTACTTCTAAAGCTTGTGCTTACAGACATAAAATTTTGGAGATCCACATCCATCTGATTGAAGTCTAAGTGAGGCTAGTTCAGCACAGTTATGTTTACCAGGTTTTATTTCAACTATTCTGCAAAGGAGAAAAATACATATTTCTGTCATATTCTATGGGAAAAATCCATAAAAGAAGAGTATTTTCCATGTAATTTAGGAAAAGAATTTCACAAATACAATTCGTGACATTTCAATGCAATGTTAGTAAGATTTGCTATAATGAAAACTGAACACAGTAGTCTCCCCATATCTATAGCAGATGTGCCTCAAGATCACCAGCAGATTCCTGAAACCACCTATTTTACTGAATTCTACTACATACTATGTTTATTTTATACATATACACACTTGTGATAATGTTTTATTTATAAATTAGGTACTGGCAGGCATGGTGGCTCACGCCTATAATCTCCACACTTGGGAGACCAAGGCAGTTGGACTGCCTGAGCTCACAGGTTCAAGACCAGCCTGAGCCAGAGCGAGACCTCGTCTCGAAAAATAGAGGGTGTTGTGGTGGGCACCTGTAGTCCCAGCTACTTGGGAGGCTGAGCAAGAGACTCACTTGAGCCCAAGACTTTGAGGTTGCTGTGAGCTACAGCTATGACGCCACAGCATTCCACCAGGAGCAACAAAGTGAGACTCTGCCCCCCCCCAAAAAATTATATATATGTATATGTACACATATATGTTAGGCACAAGAAGGGATTAAAAATAACTAATAGAACAAAAAAGCATAACAACACACCAGCATCACTAATCTTTTCCTGTGGGTAATTATTAAGTAAAATAAGAGGTGCTTGAATGCAAGCACTGCAGTATTATTACAATGGATCTGCTCACAGGAAGAACTATGTGAAATTTCACCCTGCTACTTACTCAGAACAGTGAGCTCATAAATTGTTTTTTTTCTTGAATTTCCATTTAAAAATATACTGACCATGGTTGACTATATTTACCTCAAAATACAGACACTGAAGCCACCAATATGGGGAGACCATGGTTGTCCATTCTTTAATATTTATGTTCACGTTTCACTAACTTTCAACATCTTTTACATGCCTATAATTCAACTTAAACTTACTTGTATCAGTTTTCTGTTTTTCTCTTTTTTATAATTTTCCTACAAGATAATACCAGTGAAAAAAACTTACTTAAGTTTGAACGTTGAGCCATTTATTGACACCCATGGATGACCACTGCTCTGACGAAAGACTCCAATCCATGACCAAAGTGACAGGGAGTCCAGAAATTTCTACAAGAACATAAATATTCTATGTTTAAGTCATTATTGAAGATTTTGCGAAGGTTTTAAAGTGCAAGTCGTGTGTTCTTTCATTACATCTATAACCGTCAAAACAAATTTAATATTTTAAGCAAGAAATATTAAAGTTGAAAACACTTTTTACACTGCTGAAAACTTCCACAAATGTTTATAACTTTTGTTTAAAATGAACTCTGAAGCATTCTACTTGGTAGTTTCATTCTTCTTCTTGCATTAGTGGGGGAAAAATATGATCCCTATAATTTGATAGCAACCCATGTTGGAAAAATAAATATACACATAAATTTGAATAAATTTCCTAACACTGTAACATTTTCCCTGGTGTTAATATTAAATCAATCTATTTTTACATTATATTTCTCCATGTCTCCAAGGGAGACACTGAAAGGAGGAATCAACGCCGGGGCAGAACAGTGGAGGGGGACATCATACTGCCCCAACTGAACAAAGAAACTGATAAATGCCTGCTGGTTCTTCTCAGCGCCACGGAATGAGGTGCCTCAGGTGAGCTCCTCCCCCTCCGTAATGAGAGGCAATCCTGAGCAACATCAGCAAGGCTGGCACCACCAGCAAAGGTGATCTGTCAGGAGACCTATGAGCAGCCTGAGGAAAAGCTTCTGCTACAGCATCAGGAGACACCAGTGTAGACGTGGCTGAGAGGATCCAGCAGAGGCATTCCATGACTACAAATGTTTCATACAGGAAGACTCTCTGTGTCCTTGAGGACATGACACTTACCCCCACCTTCCGGAGACACCAAATAGAATGAATTTTAAAATATACATAATGTGGAAGAGAGGACAAATGATGAGGGTATGAGCATGGGCAAGGCTGCTGGGGCTGGAAACACCCGTTTTGTGATCGGATGTGTATTACAGGAGTCCACTTGAGACAGGACAGGTTTGCGCCCCAGCCAGCTCAGCCCAGCTAGGCTAGAGGCCTCGCCTTAGCAGTGTTGGTGCAGCGGCAGCTGGCAGTGGAACCAGCGCGCTGGAGCGTAGGCAAGGTGGGGGGAACCTCCAGGGACAGGACAATTGCTGGGGAGACACAGGCACCTGGATGTCTCCTTCCCCTTTACAGTTAATGACTAAATAAAGAACCCCCATTTCCTATGCCCCAGTCAATTTCATGTAAGTTTCCTAGGCCTCAGTTCTGTGAATGGACCATGTCTATTCATTAGTACATTCATTCACCTTGCCCCAGCGGAAGAGACTGTCCATTAATTTCTAGGCCGGATATAGAAGGAACCCGTGCAGCTATATATACCGTTAAACAGAGACGGAGAGAGAAAAACGAAGAGAGCTTTTCTCTCCCTACCAGAAACTTTAGTGGTTTTGTATTCTTTTCAGTAAATAAATTCTTTCTTGCCACTGTTCTGTGATCCGTGGATTTATTCTCCAAATCACAAGACCAAGACCCTGAAAGTCTGGTATCACACTCACTTCCTGCGAAAGCTGCCCAGTCATGATATCTTTATACACAGTATAATTAAATAGAAAAATTTAATTTAAAATAAAAGCATATATAAGAGCATGGTTTTCATGAATAGCCATAATTTGTAATCACTAAATAAGCTTTAACAGTTTATGAATAGAAGTAAATTCTTGCAAAGTCAAACAACAGAATAATGTAGAGATCTGAAATAATTAGTGTAAAATATTTGAAGACTATGATGAAGTCTATAAATATAATATTGACTACATAAGCTGCTACTAAAGCGTTTGAACATTTAACATCTTACCATTTCTTCTTCACTATCTATGTAAAGCAGAGTGGAGTTCTTAGAAGCACAGGCCATCAGACTCTCATTCCAAGGTTTTAATTCCTTACCACTGTAATAGCAGTTGCTGGAATATGTGAACCACTCCTCTGGACAATGATCACAGTGATATGCTGAAGAAAAACTAGAAATTACTTTCTGGAAACAATATGAATTTGTTAAATGAATATAAATTTACATATTTTCAATGTATAAAATATATGTACATGTCTTTGCGTCCTCACAGGCTGGTAAATATAAAAGAAAAACCACACACACACACATGCACCTGAGGTTCATCCTCTCATCCCATAATTATACTGCCACATAAAGCAAAAAATCAAACATAAATGCACCCAGTACATGTCTAAAAAAATCACTGAACAAAACTATCTTTTCTAAAAAAGCAAAATTATTTAACTGTTATCACATGGTAAAATTACTAATTTGAGTAAAACAGGAAAAGGAGGTATAATGACTCTAAAATGAGTATTTCTACTTGCTTTTGAAGAAAAGGGAACACCCTCCTATAATCTTTATCAATGATTATTGCCCAATATTTCAAGTTTTTCTGCCAACAATATTGATTATAGGTTGTGTATACTCAAAGATTGATAAAAAATAAAACATGACTAAAATCAGTACCTTTCTGAGTTGTGACATTCAGGAGAGAATTGTTCTGCTTCTGTGTTACTATAACTGGAAAAAATAAGTAATCCGTATTAAACAATTAACATCTAAATATAATATTTTACATCCTATGAAATAGAGGCACTTTCAGTCATTAAAGTGAAAAGTTCAATTGTAATCTTACAAAAATATACTTACAGGGAATAAAAGTTATAGCTTTTAACACAGAGGCCAGTAGGACAATGCAAACGACTCCCAGGATCTCAGCCGTGAGCTGGTGACAGTCCGGAGGTAACAGTGAGACTGCAGAGAGAGAAACAGAGACACTGAGAAAGGAAGATGGAGACAGCTGTTTAGAGGGTTTACAGACAAGACAACCTACATGGACAGGGAATCAAATGGATAAACTCTTATCTCTAAACCCGCATCTACCATAGGAATCTTTCTTTTAAAATATACTGTAGCATTTTCATAAGTATAATCCTCCATGTTTTGTTAATCAAGGCCTGCAAATTTAACAATGCATGAATAAAATTAGTCTTCAGGTTTCATATTAGAAAACCTTGAGCTCTGATCCTCACAAGAAAAATATCCCCTCACTGGGCCAGATATGATACTAATGCTTGAATCCCGGCACTCTGGGAGGCTGAGGCAGATGGATTGCCTGAGCTCAGGAGGTCAAGACCCCAAAGTGAGGCCCCATTCCCACTAAAAATAGGAAAAACTAGCCAGGCATGGTAGCACACATCTGCAGTCTCAATTATTTGGGAGGCTCTGACAAGGGGATTGTTTGCACCCAGGAGTTGGAGGTTGCTGTGAGCTAGGATGCCAGTTACTCTACTCAGGACACAGAGGGACGCTCTGTCTCAAAAAAATAAAAATCCCCTCATCTTTCTCACACCTTTTCCCGCAACTGTACATCTCAAAACAGCTATGCTGAAGATCTATTAAATGCTTACATGTGTGGGAACACGGCTCGTCTTCCCCCTGGAGATTCAGAGTAGCGTTTTGAAGGTTTAATTCCTCATGGCTTATTTCCTGTTCAGTCTCTGAAATGGAGCTTTTCCCACCCTTAGGTTTTCTTTGATGCCCCTTAGGGTCCTTGGCCAGATTCAGTCTTGAGAAGGTGACTCTTTGGTCTTTCATCCCTGCAGCTGTGTGATCAGAGACTGGGCTCTATGAGAACTGTACTTAAGAAGTTATTAAATGTTTTATTTAATGTAATGTTCTATGGTATAGTTAAAGGAAGTGTATTATAATGTAAAAGTCTGATGGTAATTTCCTTAAAGCCAGAAACAAAATTCTTATGATTGAACAGGTAATTTTACAAAAAATTTTACATTTTACACTGGACATATATTGTTAGTTGGAATCATAAAAGACAAGAAACTAGTGTGGAATAGAAGTCCAAAATTTCTTTATTAATATAAAGTTAGATTATAAGATATATTTTAACACCAGTAAAACATGTGTGTTAAAAATTAAAATTCTGGGCTCAGCACCTGTAGATCAGTGGCTAGGGCACCAGCCATATACACAGGAGCTGGCGGGTTCAAATTCCACTCAGGTCTGCCAAACAACAGTGACAACTACAACCAAAAAATAGCCAGGTGTTGTGGCACATGCCTATAGTCCCAGCTACTTGGGAGGCTGAGGCAAGAGAATTGCTTAAGCCCAGGAGTTAAGAGGTTGCTGTGAGCTGTGGCACCATGGCACTCTACCCAGGGTGACACAGTGGGACTCTGCCTCAGAAAAAAAATTAAAATTCTATATTGAAATAATAGGGCACTAATTTTAAGATAATTTAAAAATGCATTCATCAGTAAGGAATGAGTGCCTTTGGATGGAAAAATAATATTAGAACATATAGTAATTTTCTACGCTAAAATACTTCTAGTTAGTGACTTACGCATTCCAAAGTTCAGAAAGATCATATGGTATCAATATATAAGGGTCACTTAAGTTGTGTAAACATGAGTAATAATTCAGATAACATAATCTGGTATATAGTACATGAGCTCTGAAGTCTGAGCTACAGAATTATTGGCATTGAAATTTATAATGTGTAACTTTCAAAAAGTTACCTAGTATCTAGAAACTTAGTTTACTAATCTCAAATGGAAAAATAATTTACAAGATATAATATATGTAAAACATTTAACATGCATGTGGCACTTTAACCCCTTAAAAATATTAGCTATTTCAACTATGATTAAATCCATGGCTATATTATTATATCTGATTCACATTAGTGAGTGTAAAAGAATTCCCTAGGTAGGAGGCTTCTCTCTCACTGAGGGACATATTTTTGTTGCAATGTTTTGCTCCTTTTTAAGTCTTTCAATTGCTAATAATAGTTTATAGTTGGATTTTACTAATTATCTCACCTTATTTCGGCTAACAATAACACTGCCTCCATTTAATCTACAAACATAAATAAGAAATTATATTTGACATCCATAATTTGAAGTATTTATTTTAACCATTTGCTTTTCAAGGCAGGGCTAAATAGAAAACATTATTGTACCTATTCTGATTAAAACTCCAACATTAATTTTTATGACTGTTACAGATTTTATTTTAAATAATCTTGATTAGCAATGCTGACATCATGTGTATGAGTTCTTGACTAATTGTCTACAGGTAATAATTTGAATACTTTAGGAAATCCTTCAACGTATTTTATACTTTAGGCTTCTTTTGCACCCTGAATTATTTAAGTAATAACACCAATGTTCTACTCTGAAATCATCCTATATTAATTTTACATATCACAGCTAGTATTCAAAGACTGTCAACACATACCTTCTGTAACCAGAATGTCCTGCATCCGTCAGTGGAGAGACCTGGTTACTCTTGAGAAGAAAGAAGAAATATCTGTGATCTTCACAGAGTGCCCTGTGAAGCCTTAGAGTGATGCAAGAGTAGAGAGGGTGGATTTCTAATCAATGTGTCATTGGCTCAGCCCCCCTAGCACAGTGGTTATGGTGTCAGCCACGTGCACCAAGGCTGGTGGGTTCGAACCCAGCCCAGGCCAGCTAAACAACATTGACAACTGCAACAACAACAAAAAAATGGTGTCGTGGCAGGTGCTTGTAGTCCCAGCTACTTGGGAGGCTGAGGCAAGAGAATTGCTTAAGCCCAAGAGTTGAAGCTTGCTGTTATGATGGCCCTCTACCAAAGGTAACATAGTGAGACTGTCTCCAAAAAGAAGAAAAAAAAAAGTGTCACTGAAACTTTGAACAGGAAATTCTCACCCTTGGGCTATTCACTTTATCTCATCACATACCTCCAAAGTATAAGTAAAACTGAGCTCCAACGTGATTTACTTTGTCCATTTTCAAGTGCCTGTGGAAATTATTGTCATATTTGCTAAGATAGTAGAGAACAAAAGCTTGACTACCCATGCAGTTAAGTGTTTCTTTCTCAATCACAAATGCTAAAATGTTAGGCCTTGTTAACAGGATCTTAAATGTTTAAGTTCTACATTTAGACAAAGTTGCTAAAATCTTCCTTATGCCCTTATTAATATAATTGCTATCATGATGAAAAACATTTTGAAATCATAATCATATTACGAGTAGGAATTTAATGTATTTGTCACTAAGTATTCTAAGCATTCCTAAGTACTCTAAGGAATTACATATTCTCAACTTTATTATAAGTCACATCGATTCCCAAATTTAAATTTCCAAATTTTTCTTCTTGATTCTTTGGCTTAGTTCTTAAAATTTCCACATATGGGCTTACTCTTTATAAATAAGTTAAACAGATTTCTCTTATAAAGTAAATGTCTCAGGAAAGGATCAAATATTAAACAAAATTGAGCTATATCACCATGCCAGAGGTTGCATTATTAAACAACTACTTGATGTTGTTCACAGATTCATTCTCCCATCATGATGAATTATATGTGTTTTAATAGGAATAATTTGTTGTGAATGTGTAAGACTTAAGTTAACCTATGTAGGAAGAATTCCAGTTTTAAAAAATGTTACCTAACTAAAAAATGGGGAGGGAGCCTTTTATGACACTGGCTAAATGACATGAATGTAAAGAGAAAAAATTAATCTACTTTGTATTAAGTAGAAATCTTTTCATCATTCTTCCTTTCTTACAAGTAAATAGGGGAATTTTGTTATTTCTAGTAATACCAAAGGATATTTCACAAAACTTGTTAAAATTTATTTCAGAAAAACTCAGTTTTCAACATTCTGAAGTCTAGAAAAATGGAATCTAAGTTTATATTTATGACCTTGGAAGTGGAACAATTAAGTGAGCCATTGACTAGGTATATATGCATTTCTGTTAAGTATATTTTAATGTCCTTTCATAAAGTAAATTAATAATATGATACATATACTCTTATTTTCATATTTTATGTATGACCATTAGATATAAATTTATTTATATTTACTTTTTACATTTTCAATAACTAAATTAATTATTCTTTCTATGAGTCACATTATAGAACTAAAACAATATCCTCATTAAAACTCCAAGTAATATAACATTAGCTAATGTCTTCTTGTTAAATTTGTGGTACTTATGTCTATTATCCCCACCAACATCCTCTTGATATTTTCAATTACATAATGTTATTTATTCATGCCTTACTTGGGACAGGGATACATGCCACTATTCTGGATAACATAACCAATTGTAACACAATGTTTAATTAATACACGTATTTGTGTTACACTTATTTAAACATAAAAAGTCCAGCAAAGATATGGCATAAAGGGGCAGAGCAAGATGACAGATCAGAAGGATCATTTAGCTCAACTCTTATAGTACTACTAGAGAAAAAGAGATAACCCAGCCATATTTGGAGTGGGGACCTTACCCAGAGTCATTGCTCAGGAACACAGCAAGGTGCTAGTGAGCTTGATACAACATGTGATCCAGACCAGTGGAAACCTGATTCATTAAGCAAGTGATTGCAGGCCACCAGGGTTGGCCACCCTCACCACATGCCCCAGAGGTCCAGGATGGGAGGAAGTCTTCCCAAAGTTTTCAGTTTGGGTGGATAGTTTGAAAGAGTGGGCAGACTCCAACAGTGGCCAGTAACCAGATTTGAATACCAGTTCAAGTGGATTTGCTGTCATGTTGGCGACTGGCGAGGCAGCCATAGTGAGAAGGTCTAGGAGGCCAGGGAGTCTTATGGGAAGGTAATGAAAAGGTCTTAGCAGGGACATAAAGCACATCTTAATTCCACCTGCAAGGATCAGTCCATCCAGTCAAACTGAGAGACTCCCACACCCCATGGAAACTGGCATCAAGGGGCACTCTGAGACCTGCCCCTGAAGGATTCTGGAGAGCTTTAAGATCCCAAACCCATGGGGTCTGAACGCTGAGGAAACAATCAAGTGATTACCTACTATTAACTAAGTTAGGAATAAGGACCATAGAGGTTGCTGGCTGTGTTCTCTGCCTCCTAAAAGAACCACGGCACCATATAGTGCAACATATATATTCCTATTAAAGTTGGTCCCTTCTAGTATATATATGTACATATATAATTTTTTTTTAGTATTTTTTGAATTAATTAATTCATGTTTTTTTTTTCTTTTTAATTTTTTTTTTGTTCTTTTCTACATTGCTTGGGTTGCTGCTGATTTTGGCTATTTGAGGTTTCTTTGTGTTTTTTGTTGTTGTTGCTGTTATTGTTGCTGTTGTGATTTGTTTTTGCTCATTTGTTTGATTGGTTCTATTCTTAACTTCCATTTTTACTTTCATCAAGACCAAGGGCTCCTGCATTTTTGGTTGTGGTATTTTAGCTTTGTTTATACTCTCTCTCTACTTCACTCCTCTCCATTCTCTCTTTTAATAGAGACTTCTCTACTTTTCTCATCTTTTCCCCACATGGAACAGCAAAGATATCATGTTCTTTTTTGGTCTTTCTTCTTTCTTTCCTTTTTTCTTTTCTCTCTCTTTCCTTTATTTGATACAACTGTATTTTTAATTTTCTTTATCTCTTCTTATTTTATTATTATTATTTTCTCCTTTTCTTTTTCATGTTTTCTTTTTTCACTGAATGCTTGGGTGACACATCTATGGTCTTGTGGGAAAGTCACATAGCAGTTGGTTTCAAGGAGGCCAACAGATCATGGTCTAGAGAGCCCTTCTACCTTTGGCTGTGGGAAGACAGAAT